TAATGTAGTCAGGTGTCCAAGCTCTAGATTCATCTGGCAGATCTGTTGGGAAAACTTTAGGGCCAATAGTCCAAGCAAAAGGACAACTTAGCTCATTTGATGAAGGCTTTGAATAAATGGGAATTACAGTCATGAATAAATGGGAATTACAAACTGTGAGCTGTTTTCGACAGAGTACTAATGTTGCTTGGGAGGAAGAAAGAAGGAAACTTCCACTACTTACGCTGTTTTTAGGGCTTCCTCTGTTGCCGGCAGTGCACCAGGTATCTTGAAACTCAGGTAATCCTTAAAACAGTTCTACAAGGAAGATATGGTTATCCCTACTACAGGTGAGGAGAATGTTGATGAGAGAAAGTAAGTGGCTGTGAGCCAGCATAGGAAATCGGTGGCTAAGGTGTAAGGTGTCTCTGAGACTGAGCTCTTTCCACTGTTGCCCTCATCGGGTCATTCATTCAATAAACTGTTACCATAAGCCAGGCACTGTGGTAGGTGCTGGGAAAACAGAAGAAACACCCACAGCCCAACCTGCCTTCAAAAAAACACACAGAAACGGGGCACCTGGGTGGCACAATCAGTTAAGGACCCAACTCTTGCTTTCGACTCCAACGGTGATCTCAGGATTGTGAGATCAAGCCCCGCCTCTGGCTCTGAGCTCATCATGGAGTCTGCCTAGGATTCTCTCTCCCTTTCCTTCTGCCCCTCTCGCTCATGCTCGCTCTCTCTCAAATAAATTTTAAACACACACAGAAAATGGAGAGACAGACAAAAAAACAAACAAACAAAACAACAGAGCTCAGTGTTTCCGGTGCTATGTGAAGGGAAAACAAAGGGTGTAAGGGGGTTGTTCAGGAGGGGCCCTCGAGCCTCCTGTCTCAGGGGACTAGAGCTGTCTTGGCACTCCACAGGGCTCCAGCCCTGCTGAAAGCAGCCTTCACAAACTATGGCCACGCAGTGGTGGAGCCCAGCAGCAGAACAGAGCAGTGCACGTTTGTGGCTGTCACAAAAGGAGTCTAGAGACAAAAATCACGGGGGCCAGAACCCTTCATTGTATCTGAAGCATTTGTTTCAGCGACGCAGAGATGAAATACTTGTTTGTGTATCTTTATTGCCCGCTTGGTGTGATCTTTTTGAGAACAGTCACTGCTATCTAATATAGTGCTTGGTACAAAGCGACAGTCAGATAAATGCCTACGGTATAAATGAATGAACTGGAATCAAGATGAGCCAGAATCAAAATGGTGTGAGAGGGATGACTGGGTGGCTCAGTTGGTTAAGCCGCTGCCTTTGGCTCAGGTCATTTTCCCGGGGTCCTGGGATCGAGTCCCGCATTGGGCTCCTTGCTCGGCAGGGTGCCTGCTTCTCTCGCTGCCTCTGCCTGACTCTCTGCCTGCTTGTGTGTACTCTCTCTCTCTCTGGCAAATAAATAAAATCTTTAAAAAAAAAATGGTGTGAGATTGATGTATGCCTAGAACACACAGCAGTATCCAGCCGCTAGCTGGAACCCATCCATCTCTCAAAGAGATCTGCTAGATGGGCTGTAAAGGTACAAACCTGAGCAACCACAAAAAGTTCAGGATTCTCCCTCTCTGGCCATGAGTACCCTACTTAGCAACAGATGGGTGTTGAGGCTAGACAGACCACACAGAGAAACTCCACTCATGGGCTTCTGAAAAAATAGTTTTCAGAGTTAACCTGGAAATACCGCTCTGGTCATCTGGCCAGCTCTACCAAGTCGCACTGACAATTTCATTACAGGGAAATCAACAAAATGTGTTCATTGTCAAACTCATAAGAGGAGGAAAAAAAAAGTTCTTAATTTTGTCTAAAGGTAATACAGTTTTTCTCCTGAGCCCCTATCTGCTGGTTGGGGTAAGTGTTTATTTAATCCAATGAGATAATGAATGCCTTCAGAAAAAGTTTGAGTCTCTTTAGATTTAAAAATTAAAATCTGAAACATTATCCCCTTGAAATGTTTCTCCTCTTAGAGTCCGTGTGTAGGGGGAAAGGGGTGGAGATTAATGCTACCTCGTGGTGTCAGAGAAATGTCATGTCCTCCCTCTCCCTCAGCATCCTTGTCTCCTCCGGCTTCCAGAGAGAGGTCCTTGCTCTTTGGTTGCTGCTTGCTCTGTATTCAGGGCTGAGTCAGTGCCTGTGTTTTGCTTCCACTGATCATAGCCTGGGAGCTCTGAACCAGTCCTCAAAGAGAGGGGAAATCTGGACTCTCACCTGCCATCCTTGCAATCCCCTTTCTGTCTCCCTCTACTTCCTCCCACCATCCTGTGGGGACCAGAAGGAGCAGGCTTTCACTTTGACCATGTCCTCTTATACCACCAGCAACAGCAAACTCCACGGATACACTGTCATAAGACTAGAATTCCATGAGGCACAGTCTCTGGGCTCAACCCCTGATAAGCTAAAATGCTAGTAGCTAATATCTGTTGTATAGTTATTATGCTTTAGTTGCTAAAATAATTTACATACATTGTCTTGCTTAATCTGCACACCAATCCTGTGAGGTATTTTATAAAATTACCTCTTTATAGTGAAGGGAACTGAAGTCTGAGGAGGTTTAGTAACTTGCCGAAGATCATGCATCTGAGAAGTGATGAGGTCAGGATTTGAATCCAGTGTGTTAGGTTCCATAAAATAACACCCTTAGCCCCTACGCTATACATTTTTCTAGTCCAGCAAAATGTAGAAACACCAAAAAGTAACATACGATTGTCATTAGCAGTTCTCGGAGTTTTTGACATCATTTTTGCTTTCTTAAAACACAACGTCTTGCAGAATATCAACAGAATATCAGACTCTGTCTTCCACATATCCCAAGATCTAGACAGCTCTGTTCATCAACTGTTGGGAAATATCACGGACATTATTTAAGGCAAAGGGCATTGGTGAACATGGAAACTGAGAAATGTTGGAATGCATTTTGGGTTTTTGTTTTTGTTTTTTTTTTAGTTTTGTTGTTTACTTATTTTTATGTATGATCCTTCTACACCCAAAGTACAGCTCAATCTCATTAAGGATCAGGATCTGTGAACTCAGCTCGAGTTCAGAGAACACTAAAAATGAGAAGTTAGCCTAAGGCACCAAGAACCAAAAAACAGCTAAGCCAAAATCTCCAGTAAAATGTTACATTCAAAAAAACCCATACCTAAACTAGAAAGCAGAATCAGGAATTCAGATTAAGGACGAAAAAACCAGAAGGTCAGAGCTCAGGAGACAAGTCCTCAATGTAATGAAAGTAAGAGCAAGTCTTAGAGAGTGGGTGACAATAAATTCAACGGTGGGGATCAGGGTTAATGAAACAGAAACCAATCAAGACGGCATGGATTTCCATAGCTAAACTTCCCTGTGCTGGAAAGCAGCACAGATTTTTATTCAGTACAAAAGTACCCATTTCAGAATCCCTATATTTTAGTGAGGTATGAATGAATATTAAACAATTATTTTAAGTTTCAACAGATACCTTTCTGAAAGACAATTTTATGTCAGAATTAAGAATTTTCCTTTTTTTTTTATTATGTTCAATTAGCCAACATATAGTAGTACATCATTGGTTTTCGACAAGGCAGCTTCAAGAAGCAAGTATCAATCTGAAAACAAACAGTGCAAACCAAAAGACATTTATTTCTGTAACTTTAAAAATGAATACAGAAATCCCAGAACAAGCCCCAAATTAATTTCTGGTTTCATACGACCAAATGCCAAGTAGCATGGTGACCCTTAATGCTATGTCAAAGTATCACTCATTCCACAAAATAATAAAAATAATAACAATAGCTATTGTTTACTCTCCCTGGGACTCTAAGTACTTTTCATCTGGTAACTCACTCACTCCTTCCAGCAATCCCATCAACGACATACTATTACTAATCCCATTTTACAAATGAAGACGGTGAAACAGAAGTGAAGAAACTTCCCCCAAGTCACCCAGTTCACAGGGGCCGGGGCCGGGGCTAGAACCCAGGCCGTCTGCCTTCAGGGCCCATATTCGTAGCCACAATGCTCTACACCTGACAGCCCCATTAGTGACAGAAAGCTGGATTCAGATTTGCCATGGGACCTAACTGTATATACCCATGAGTAAGAATTCTTCATGATCGTAAGTAATAATCTTCTCATTGACTTCTTGACGCTGTTCAGTGATAGGAAATTAATCAATGCCTGCAAAACTGTATTAAAAGATGATGTACTGAATTTATAAAAACTGCTTATACTATTTTTTTTTATAAAACTCTCAAGTTTTCAAAGCTCACATGCATCGTGGTTAGTTAAAAAAGGAAAAATTGCTTAGACTTTTGCCCTATCTAAAAAATTTTAAAAATTACTTGGCAATTTACTTCAGCCAAACGATAAAGGAACGCCAGGAGTCCTGAAGGGAAATCACCACCACCGGACTGGACAGGAGCCTGCTGGCCAAGGGTCTTGATTCTCATTCCACTGCTTTTGTCCTCGCACAGAGGATGTGTGGAAACTCATCTCCTGCGGGAAGTGCTCCTGCTGTACAATTCACTGTCAGGTGCCCGCGTCACCGACCGAGGGCTCTACACAGCACGCTGGGATACGCTGCCTCCTGAATTGTGAAGTCCATGTCACCATCCGCATTTTAAAATGACGGAAGAGAGGATCAGAAAGTAAATGAAAGTAACTCACCAAAGGCCAAAAGTCTTGGAAATAGAACCAGAATTCAAACCCAAGTCTGTGGAACTGCAAAGCCTCTTCTCTTTCCCGCAGACCCATTACACTGTTCTAGTTACATCAGCTCATCACTGTCCCTATAAACTTGCAGTTAAAGCTAGGAATCAGCTCATTAGGTTGATAGCTATTAAAATACAACGCTACATCTATACAGTGAGTGTTCCTACTATACTGACATTTTCCAGAGACTGTTTCATTCTCTCCAAAACACCACACAAAGAGAAGCCAAAAGACATGTCCCCAGTGGACCAGCACAATATAGTCGCATCTCTCTCCTCCTGGCGTCACAGAATTGGTGCCACGGAAGGATCAGGAGAGCCCTTAGCCTTGAGCCAGACTAAAGGACTCCCAGGCTCTCGTCTGTGCCCTCGGTCACTCTAGGGGGCAAAAGGTCCTTTGAATCCAGGCTTCGGAAGGCCAGACTCACACCAAAGCATCTCCACAAACGTCTGCTTCAGCTTGTTGTTTCCCAGAATGAGAATCAATGAGTGGCCAGCAGGATAAAACATTGTAACTGCTTCTCCGATCATAATGACCATCTCAGTTCCTGGTATGAAATAACTGCAGGATGTAATCAGAAAGGCCAAAAAGTAAAGCAGGAAGAGAAAGAGGAAGGAGACGATGATTTTGATGGCTCTCTGGTGGGCCTCGGTGCTTGGATCTCTGGAGCTGATGCTTCTTTGCTGCAGCTGCTGCACGTGTCTCCCCAGGGAGAGGATGAGCACAAAGTACGAGGCCACAGACACAATTAGGGGAGGGAGGTTCCACAGAGTCCCAAGAACATGGAACACTTTGTATTCATTTCTTTTCTTTCTAAAGTGCTCGGTCACATTCCCTGTGAAATCGACCCCCCTGAGAACGGAATAGATCTTAAATTCCTGGATCAGAGATAGGGCACTCACACACGATAAGAACAGGGCAACCAAAATCATGCATACGACCACCCTGGAAACTCTCCACTTGAGCCAGAGGAATGCAGGATGGGAGAAACTGGCAATTTTCAGGCAGTAGAGGACACTGAGACAGGTGGTGAGCCAAATGCTCAGGTGGTTTGTAAATGTCCAGAAAATATCGATAATTTGCATCACTATCCCTTCATTACGTACTTTGGAAGAGAACACCATTAAAACACCGTCAGCCAAGAGAATCCACAGGAGAACGATCCTAGAGAGAGCAAGGTTAGTGATGATGAAGTCAGACAGAGAGACTGTCTTGTTTTTGAACCAGCTGCTGCCATTGGCCAACACTATGAACCCATTCCCCAGCATCCCCAGAATGAACTCGGTGACAGACAGAACCAGGAACATCCATTTCTCCAGCCCTGACATGTCAGCTAGACCTGATCTTGTTCTTGATCTTGATGTACAATCTCCTTGCTGACTTGAAACTCCGCTCTGTGAACCTGTCACTTCTACCTGTTGCTTCACTGTACCTGTCTCTTGTCTCTGCCCAATTTAGTCCGTAGTAGAGCACAATTTAGTGAACCCTCTCTGGATCTTTCCAATTAGTCTGTCCTCTTCACAGATGACAGGGACTGTCACATTCCATCTATGATCTAAACTCAGCAGCTCTTTGCCAAAATGCAAATGGGGTAGTATTCAATGTCACAAGAAGAAGGAAGAGATCTCACTCACAAAGGTGAGGATTTGCACATGATTCCAAAGGGAGGGAGGTTCCAAGCCAGCCAGGACAGAAAGGTGCATGACCAGAAGTCATACAGAATCGCTCTGAAGAGTGAGAAGTCTTCTTCCTGGAAGGAGGACTCAGGGACACACACAGAAGGAGGGAGATCAGAATTCCACCAGAAGGCACTATCAAAGTCACCCTGAGGGAGGTTTAAGTGCATGAAACGAAGTTCAATGCCAGACGTCCTGGGTTAGAATTAAAAGGTGTGCCTCTTAGTGTATACCTTACATGAGGGGGCTCCAAGTTCTTCCCTAGAGAGCCATATCACCAGAAGTCTTAACTACCTGACTACTTAAATAACAATAATGAATTATAGCATATAAGCTACTTAAAATGTAGATTTTCAGGGGCACCTGGGTGGCTCAGTGGGTTAAGCCTCTGCCTTTGGCTCAGGTCATGATCCCAGGGTCCTGGGCTTGAGCCCTGCATCCAGCTCTCTGCTCAGCAGGGAGCCTGCTTCCCTCTCTCTCTCTGCCTGCCTCTCTGCCTACTTGTGATCTCTCTCTCTCTGTCAAATAAATAAAATATTTAAAAATAAATAAATAAAATGCAGATTTTCAGAGTGCATGACCACTGTATCAATATGTCAACAGTAGTTCAAGCTGACAGAAATCATACACAGTCTCTTCAACCAAAGAAATCTGATTTATGTAAAACAGTGCCTTAACAAATTTTGACCATGGCCAACAGTAATAATCTTTATAGCGTTTTATATATATATCACCATATATACATATTATTCTGGGAACACAAAGGAGGTCACAAAACAATTATTTCCCCTTTCTAGATGTGTGGCAGTCTGATATTTTCTATCCTTTCTATTTCTTTCATTGCTGCTTGCCTACCACAAACTTGATTTTACAATCTACACATGATTTGTAATCAATACGGTTTGAAAACATTGATCCGAAGGATGGAGAGAGAAATCAAGGCCACCAAGACACAAAGCAGAGAGTTTAGCAACACCATCCAAATAACAGAAGGCTAGACTTTTGGATCCCCTCAAAAGGACCTCCCACGGTAGCAGATGACAAATCTGCACAAACAACACAGAGTCTCTTCTGGACGCCCGCCACACGGCCAGGTGAACCTCATCAGGCTTGGCATTCTGCAGCGTACGATATGGTTACAGAGCATTACCGAGAATACTCGGCCATGAGCAAGGCCCTCCTTCATCACCCTCAGCCTTCTCGGGCTAACTTTGCAACCTGGCCAAATGCTCCTGAGCTCTGTGCTCCAGAATTAGAGTAAGGCAGTTCCCAGCTTTCTCTGGCAGTCCTTTAATAGGACCTTGGCCCAGTTGTAGCACTGGTCCCACAACCCACCCCTGATGCTGTTCAGTTTTTTCTCATGGCTTCAGTTCTATAGATGCACATTTCTGTTCTCGTAACACCTTCTACATCCTCTCATAAGAAGCAATAAGCTAATAAGATTCCTCTACCAGGGATTAGAATTATCCAGTGAGAAGAAACTTTAGAATATGTAACATATCAGAATTCATTTCATGTACCATGTACGGCTAATCATCCTGCTTTACAAGTCTTATTATTTTTACCCCTTCCAAAATTACAACGTTTACCTTTTTAGAAGTCATTACTGAGCAGTCTAGGGTTAACTATAATTTTTCTTTCTCAGTTTTGATTCTTTCCCAGGACAGTGTTTCCATGCACAACGTACTAGCGGGTGGCGAGAGTTCAATTTCAGAGTTTAAAAGACATCGTTGGAATCATGGAACACTACACCAAAAACTAATGATGTACTGTATGGTGACTAACATAACATCATTTTAAAAATTTTAACAAATAAATAAATAAATATTTGTTAAACGAGAAAAAATAAAAAATAAGAGATCATTGGGGGAAAAAAGACATTGTTGGATATCGTTGCTACTACTCCATCAGGTACCACTGATAAGAATTATGAGCCCATAGTTACACCATTCCCACTTTTTTTTAAATTTTTTAAAGATTTTATATATTTATTTGACAGAAAGAGAGATCACAAGTAGGCAGAGAGGCAGGCAGAGAGACAGGGGGAAACAGGCTCCCTGCTGAGCAGAGAGCCCGATGCGGGGCTCCATCCCAGGACCCTGAGATCATGGCCGGAGCCGAAGGCAGAGGCTTAACCCACTGAGCCACCCAGGCGCCCCCATTCCCACTTTTTAACATAAACACTAGAACTATCATATGATAACTAATATCATAGCATTAGTAATGTCTGCTTCCAAAATGTACGTTCACCATCCTCCACTGAAACAGCCACATATACTCAAGTCCAACTCTACAAAATGTGCATCTTTAAACACGGTTTGTCAGGGACCAATGCCAGAGCCAAGGTTCTGGCTCCTTGCATCTTTCATCCCAGGCTGCAGACATCTAGAACGACTACTGAGAGATCACGCTCTTGCTCTCAATCATCCTTCTGAGTAAAAGACCAAAGGAAGCGTATCAGTCAGGGCATCCACAGGAAGCAACTGGCATAAACTGGGTAATTCCAGAAAGGTGTTAAAGTGGAATTATTTACAAAAAGTGTGAGCAGAGGATGGGGAAACCATAAACAGCTAGTGCAGTGCCCCAGAGCTCGGACCAGTGGGGCACCACATCGCCATACCACCCAGAAACAGAGGGCTATATAGAGGGGACCTCCTGACAGTCGCTGAGATTTTTCAGTTGGGAGACCCCAAAGAGAGTGCGCTGAGAGAATAAGCCTCAAAACACAGGCCAGCAGACTAACAAGACGGTGCACTATCATCTTCCTACCCTTCATTATTCTGGCACTTTCTCTGCAGGGACTGAGGTATCACGGTCCAGGTCTTTGCCTCATTCCTGCTCTGACACTAGCATGACAACTGAGTTGATAAGCACCAGCAGGACACTCAGACTGACAGCAAGACAAGTCACAAATAATAGCCCTTTCCATCAACTGAGGCTCACTAATTTGCAGAATATAGAAGGAAACTAGCACAGCTGGGTGTATATAGCAGAGAGACCACCTACAACGATAAGCGGAGTGCAGGCTTCTGGGTCCCTTAAAATCCTTACCTGGAGGTGAGGCAACAGCAAATTCTGAGTAAACAGGACTGGTCTGAAGGCCCTCCCTCACACCATGTGTGCACGTGTACATTCTCTAGTTCCTCATCTGGGAGAGCGTACCTTACCAGCCTTGGTCTTACACTGCATACAACCCTGCTACAGAACACTGCAGCGTATGGCCCACCCCAAATGAACATAGGCCTCATTTACACCTTCAGTTACATCCCCCAAACTGATAAAACTTTGTTTTACAAAAACAGAACAAGAGTCTATTAACCAGAGGCTTTCAATAACAAGCTACCACGCTAACACACCATCTTGATGCCCCATCCTGCCCTAATGTTACCCAAAAATGTTCATCCAGTCTTTTCCTACAGACACTGGGGACAGGGACCTTCCTCCAGGATTTCTCAGCTCCTACACACACCTTGCTGGATGTGCTAAGTATACGAGGCCCTGGCCACCCTTGACTGGGGCCATTTTGTGCAGTGAGCAACCAGAAAGGAGGAGGTAATGCGCCCCTCCAGGACAAGGAGCAGGCTTGTTTCCTGCTTGCTATAAAAGCTGCATGTTCTCCAGGCTCAGTGTCTCTCTCTATAATGAACTCCACCTGGGCCCTGTGCGTTGCCCTTGGGGACTCTTGGGACAAAGGGAACTGAGAGAAACATGCTGGTGTTCACGCTGCTTCCTGTGCTGCTGATAATACGACACTTTTCTCCGATCCAGAGGTTTCATATCTTTTGCCAGCTTCCACGAAACAGTGACGGGCTAAGTTACTAGCTGTCAACAGGGTAAAATCAAATCCCCAATCCACAGCCAACCTCAATTTGACCACCACTGCTTTCCATAGCCTATTCTAGTTATTATTTTCCCCCTTAAACCCACAACCCCCACCTGTACTCTGCTCCATACAGTGGGGTCTGGGATTCTACAAATCATTTCCCAGACGCCCTTTCCGGATGCTTTGCTGTTGGTAATCTGTCAGTATGAAAACTGGCAGATGAGCAGGAAGGAAAAAGAAAAATCTGGCCTCTCACTCCAACAGGGTATCCCTTGGTGGCAGTTCCTTTGACTAGGTTAAGAATGATTACTGTAGACCCCATGAACTAGGATAAAATCATCTATACAGTGTTAGCCAGCCTGGCCAAGGCAAAGCCCCTTCAGCACACCAGAAACAACTATAACCACACCCCAAGCAATGCAGCAACAGGTGCATGCTCAATGCAGCAACAGGTGCACATTGGGTGCCAGCCCAGCGATGGTATCAGTTTCTGGCTCTGACACTACCCTTCCTTCTCTCTTTCCCTCTTCCCACATTTTTGTAAATAATTCCCTCCATTAAATCCCCTCTGTCTGAAATACCTGTACTGGCTTCCTCTTTCCTGACTGGACTCTGAACAATGCACAGTCCTTCCACCTATTTTTGAAGTTTTAGTTGTTACATTTCAAAAAAGATATAACACACATCTCTGTTTTGCATTCTCCTTGGGGTTCCGGGGTTATTTCCAAAAGGAAAAAGAAACTCATTTAACCTATAATACCATTTTCATACTGCAACTCCCGCCAGTAAGTTTTTAATACATATTATTTTCATTATTTTAAATCATCCTATGTTGGTAAGCCCAAAATGCACACTTTCATGTCATACTACTCTTCAGAGCTCCCATATCCACCTACCTATCTAACTTCTTTACTTGGCTCTATCATGGACATCTCAAATTTAACATGTCCAAAACAAAACTCTCCATTTATTCTCATTTTATTTTTTTAAAAGATTGTATTTATTTGACAGAGAAAGATACAGTGAGAGGGAACACAAGCAGGGGAAGTGGAAGAGGGAGAAGCAGACTCCCTGCCAAGCAGAGAGCCCAATGTGGGGTTTGATCCCAGCACCCTGGGAT